ATCAGGAATGTGGTGTGACGTTTCTGTGTATCAAATTGTAAAAGGCTACCCACTACAAGATCTAGCGCAGGTAAGGTCTGCCTGTTTGAGCTTTTGGAATTTCACTAATTCTCTCATCTTATACTGGTAAGAAACTCAAAGGGTTTTTACTATGCTGTCTGTCTTCTTTCAGAGGTACACGCTTTAAGCGGTTTTGTTGTGGAACCGTCAGACTTTCTTTTAACTCACTTGAAAAATTCTTAATAGTGTCAAACTCAGTTTCTGTGCAGAAGTAATTACCGACTGCCAGCTCTGTTGTTCCCTCGAGCATTAAGTAGAAAGCGACATGAACTTACTTGAATTGCTAAATGTTGTTTTCACAGGTTTTCTGGCAGTAAAATCTTGATCACTTCCACCCCCAGTATCCACCTCATACTTAGGGTGTTAAATGAATGTATGAGGTATTTTCTTGCTAGTCAGCGTAACACCCACGGGTGATTTTGGGGCCTAGAAAGACCCCTCCTCCCACTCAGCTCAGACTGATGGAAGCTGCCGGGTTGGCCGCTGGGTCGGACCCCCTGCCCCAGGTCCTCGCAGTCTGTAGGAGCTCCTTGCCATCTTCCTGCGGATCTTTGCCCTGCGGGGCGATCAGTAATGCTGTGATCCAAGCTACGCTCTTACTCAAGAGCAAGTGGAATTACAACCACACCACTGTGTATAGCTCGTGGTTTAATGTTGCTGAAGGCCTGCTCTCCTATGTAAAGTTACTTACCCTTGTGCAGTGTAAAATGCCTATTCCACATTCTCAACGAGTTCTTGTGCTGGCAACCACAGCAACATACTATGCATCAGAGTAAATGTCTTGTAAGACCTGGCTGGAAAACCGAGGTGTAGATATTGACTTCCCATTTACTAATGTCCTGGATAACGTGAGATCAGGCAGGATCAAATATTCCCTCAGGATCCTGCTAAGGTTTCATAGCCCACACTGGGTTTGCTCCCTGCTGCAGGTGTGCTACATTGTACCTAAACTGTAACTGGAGTAAGCAAGCTTGGCTAGGTGTCTATGAACTGCAGTCAGACTTTTGGTTTTTAGTCTAGGCACACCCTTGGAGACCTGCACAGACGTACTTCTATATGATGTACATACAGATTTGTCTACAAATATGAAAAGACTTAAAGGCAAATTGTACAGAAAAGAGCCAAAGGTGGAAAAGGGTACCAATAGGGAGGACCTGAGCCAGAAGAAATTGTTCTATTTTTCATTCCTTGTACATCTTTGAAATAGCATAACTCCTTGACTTTGTCCCTCCCTCTCTCTCCCTCTCTCAGTGTCTGAAAGATTAACATACACAGAAACTCTTTTTAAATGTGCAGTGCTTTCTGCTTAGCCTTCAGCTTTCCAAATTACCTCTCCCAGAGCCACACATGTGGTTTTTATTCACTTTTTTAAAAAATTCAAGTTTGATTAAACTTTATCTGCAAACAAATAGCAAGTATCTTTGTTTATTACCCAGACAATGACTGTTAACCAGAGGCAGACTTAGAAATCTATTATACAGTGAAAGTTAAATAAAATGATGGTAGATTAAACAATATATACTGTATACTACCACAGCTATCTCACGACAGGATTATTGAATATTCATCCAGATGCTGTGGTTGGTTGGTTTGTTGGCCGGCTGGTTTCTTTCTCTTTCTTTGTTTCTTTGTTTCTTCCCTTCCTGTCCTTGTTCTGCTCTCTCTTTCTCCCTCCCCCTCTCTTTCTTATCAAAAGTACCGCAATGAGGTGTTGAACCATTTTATTTAGCTCTTTGCTTTGTACTGGTTACGTAGACACAGGAAGAGGGTATGTTAAAAAAATCAACAACCCTCAATAAAGCTCACATGGGGAGTCAGATTCATACAAGCCAGCTGACCTGTGGTCCTGGGTGACCACAGCAGCATATGCATCATGCAATGTCTCAGATTATCTATACTGTATGCATGAAACATTCTCTGTCAGCTATGCACAAAAGCATGTCCTAAGTGATCATTTCTGTGCATGCAAGAACAGTTTCTACTGGTGGTTTCAATGATCTACTAGCATTTTGGTCAGTTCAAAACCAGGAGCTACCTGGGGAGATGCCTGAGACTGACAGGTCCTCCTTTCAGGGATTTAATGAACACATCTTAAGTATATAAATAGTGTATCTTAACCAGTGTGTGCACAGCAGGAGCTACATGGGGGAATCTCCCAAACTGTCCTCAGTTCCCACTTGGAGAACTCTAGTAACTGTTAACCAGCTGCTTTGCTGGAAATCTGGCCACGGGTTCAGCCCATCACCTCATCTCACTGGGGAGCTCCTGGGCCAGCCTGGGCATTAATGACGCTGTGTGCTGGGTCAACCCTGATACTCAGCTATACCACAGCCGTAACTATAGGACAAGCTTAAATTTCATGCTAACATCACCATTATAATTTGAATTCCATAGATCTCATCACGTATTTACCATAGTGGAGGTCACTGCCTGCTTATGGATCCAGAAATTGTCACATTATGACTATCAATAATAGAAGTAATGCCAAATAATTTAAAAATGAGGCTGTATAGCTATGTATCCTGTGCACATGCATTCAGTTTCTTTGCTTTCTTAATGAAAACTGCCTTTGAGATACAGATGCCTTTGATCCCGCTTACATAATCTGCCATAATTTTGCATGCAAAAACATTTACTACAAATTTTAGCATGTGAATGAGGTGTTGAAGGAACAAGCAACCAAGTCAAAATTGTGATGGCAAGAGAATAGTAACTCTGAATGAAAAATAGATGCGTACTTGCTAGGTGGCTTCTCTCTTGAGGGTGCTTATTTCTTTAGCATATGCCATCATCTAGAGCTCATAGCTCTGCTTTTCAGGGTATGCAGTGTCCCCTCCTTAGGCAGCGCTGATAGATGCAAAGGAATTGCCAAGGATTTTCTCTGCAAAGACCGGTTAATAAATCGTAATTTTTTGATAAAAAAAGAATTGGCATCATGGTTATGCTGATGTGCTAAAGTAATGACGGCAGTGGTCAGTGAATGATAAAATAGCAGTATTTAATGCTCCAGAAACTCACTGTTTGTTTTCACTGAGAATCCCTTGTTCCTTTCGGTTTCCTTAGCATAGCAGCATAAGCACTGTTTCATACTGCCAGCATTTTCTTTTCTGTTTTTTAACATGTCATAGTTATACTTGAAAAAGTGAAGAGAAGACATAACTACTGAAAGTAATGAAATCATTGACAATGCCTTTGGAAATGTTGCAAAGATAAAAACTTATATTATGTTATTCCTGATCAGAAAGCTGTTTAGACACGGTGGGTGAAAACCCAACAAGGCAGACAAATCTCAGTAGGTCTATAGGTATGAGTGCACTCAGTCAAAGGTAGCTTTTGCCGCTTTGCCTCACTTAGGCTGAGTCACAACTAATTCTTCTTTTTCCAAAAGTGGGATATTCTGTGTTTCCAGGGAGCAAAATACACCTTTGAGCAGCTAGACTGTCCGTGTTGTGGAACATCCTCTTCAATTCTGATGAAAAAATAAAAGGGAGAGAAGCAATTCAGAAAAAGATGAGAACTTCATAGTAGAGTAAAGAAGAGAATTAGACTGTGTCCCTAGTCTTCACTTTAGCAGTGATGTCAGTGAATGTGTTAAGGGGATGACAGCACAGCTGTAACACTGCAGACAGGTCAGAGGTGCTTCATGCTCTGTATAAGGGTTAATTCCTGCACAGAACACTACACGTCTGCAGCAAGCCGGCTCACAGGGTAAATATACAAAGACAAGGGAAGAGGATTCAAAGAGATTTCCTATATCAAGGCCTCACTGTTATAGATAGTAAATAAATAACCCTATATATTTAATGCTCTTTCACCTGCAAGTTCAACAAATTCAGACCTTACAGCAAAATAAAAATAGGAAAGGAAGGTTATCAGGAGTATTCAGCATGGATTCACCAAGGGGAAATCATGCCTGACCAATCTGATAGCTTTCAACGATGACATGACTGGCTGGGTAGATGAGGGGAGAGCAGTGGGTGTTGTCTACCTCTACTTCAGCAAGGCTTTCGACACTGTCTCCCATAACATCCTCCTAGGGAAGCTCAGGAAGTGTGGGCTGGATGAATGGACAATGAGGTGGATTGAGAACTGGCTGAATGGCAGAACTCAGAGGGTTGTGATCAGCGGCACTAAGTCTAGTTGGAGGCTGGTAATAAGTAGTGTCCCCCAGGGGTCAGTACTGGGCCCAGTCTTGTTTAACTTCATCAACGACCTGGATGAAGAGTTAGAATGTATCCTCAGCAATTTTGCTGATGACACCAAACTGGGAGGTGTGGTAGACACACCAGAAGGCTGTGCTGCCATTCAGCGTGACCTGGACAGGCTGG